AGTCAACAGATACAGTTTTTGAACATTTCACAAAAAAAAATGGAACATAAACTAAAGCTTAGCTAATCTTTAGATAAAAAAAAATAGCTTTTTCTACAAAAAAAAAAAGTAACCAAAAAAGATATTGACATTATAATCAAAGGATACATATGTACTAAAATTGTCCACCCGATGATGACAAGCACTTTTTTGTTTTTGTTTTTTTTTTTTCACATTTACAATATTGCACTGATTTTTTTATATGCGTTTCAAAGATAACGTCTGCCTTGCTTGTTGAGATGATAAATGATAACTGGTAATTCCAACGCATTTTTTAACCTGAAATTTTGAATAATGTAAACCTAAATTTTTGACTGGTAATTCAAAGCCAGATGATACAAAATGAAAAGCCATTTTTTTTTGTAGACAAACATTACTGATTTTCAATTTCATAGCGCTTTCTAGAATTGAATTTCTGATATTTATAACCCCAAAGAAATATTTGTTTCTGATTTCAAGCCAATGTTATCATCAAAATTAACCTACCGTTTTGTGTATTTATTTATTTTTTTTGCTTTTTATTGTCCATATTTGCAAACTGTTTTACGCTCCCGTCATCATTTTCACGAATTCTTCGTAGTTGATCTTAAAAGTAAAAAAAACAAAAAAACCGTGTACATGATGATGAGACTAAAATTCAATATTGCATATAATAATTCTGGCACTTTGAAAAATTTTTTTTTTAATAAAGCTGTGTTTTTTTTTTTCGGATTTCTGTGTGTCTGTGTATTCAGTGAAAAATTTTTCAGAAAAGTCAAAAAGTCAGCCATCATTTGTGTGTTTAAAAAAGAAGCAGTTGTAAAAAAAAATAAAGCCCGATGAAGAAAGTACAATGTGATGATCATCCTAACGTATTCTGGAAACTTTATAATCACCAACATCACCAACATCTTCAGTGAAATACTCTTTTTTGAAAACAGTTGTTGCTTAACTGAGGCAGTTAAATGTGTGTGTGTGTAAAACAGCAATGGAATGTTAAGAATTTATTTTTGACAACAAATTTATGTAGGTTTTTTTTTTTTTTTTTTTGTTGTTGTTGCTGTTGTTAAACATTAATTTGTGCTCTTTTAAGAATGTAAGATTAAAAAAAAAAGAAAAAAAAAAGAAGAATGAAAAACAACAGCAAAAAAAAAAATTAAAAAAGTCTTTCTTTTTTCCTAATGTTCTGAGTCTTTCTTTCTTTCTGATGTTTTCAAAACGTCAAATGCTATTTGGAATACTGTGGTGAAAATGTGTTTATTTTTTTTTTTTTTTTTATCTTTCATTAATTAATGTCAATTATTTTTTGTGTGTTATTTTATCGGTATTTTTTTGAGGGCTCAAATAAACGTAGCAA